CTTCTGTAAGCTAGTGGGTGCAATAAAAGTATTTTAGTATACTATACTCTTGCTTTCCTTATTCTATGGGAATATACCTTTTGTTGAATGTAATATCTGACGATGTAAAATGGGTATACTAGTCGAAATCCTACGGCTTTCCTGGAGTCTATGAGGAAGTGTGCACGAATTGAAGGGATGCAGCCTATTACCTAAAGTAGTTACAATTTTAAACATATCCATTGATTGTAAGTAAGAATAGTACTATAGAGACTTTACAAGTCACATCAAAACCTAGTGAAAAAAATAATAATTGACCGAGTATATATGGTGTGAAAAAGTAACAATAGCAATCATATAATATTTTTTTATTCCTCTGTTTCAGCCCATGGTGATGTAAAATTATCAAGTGATAAAAAGGGAAAGAGTCCAAACTTTGGTGATACAATAAAAGCTGACAACAAATATTCCTCAAATCCTTCTCCGAATTTGAAAGCGTTTAAGTTTGCTGATCTGCAAAGGGCAACTAAAAATTTTAGTCAAGACTTTCTCTTGGGAGATAATGGAGTTATGTTCTTATGTTGGGTTGACAAGTTCACATCCGTTCCTTCAACAAAGGGTGTTGGGATTGCAGTTGCTGTTAAAAGGTGTCAAGGTCTTCAAGAATATGAAGTAAGAATCAATCCACATCAATTTATACTATTTATTAATAGGGAAAATACCGGGTATAGACATTTTTTGGGGTTGAATTCAGAAATATAGACACAAAAAGTTGGATTTCCGAGTATAGACATGGATTCCACGGAGGTAGCTGCGAGGGGCTCCGCGGAATGCACTGTAGCTCCACGGAATGACAAAATCATAAATAAATCAGGGTATTAAAAAAAAGAAACTCAAGATCCATTCTTCGGAGATACCTCCGAGGAATGAATCTTCAGAAAGAAAAAAAAATCACCTCCAATGATTCTTTTATGTAAAGATCTCTAATTAAAAGACCAATTTTTTTTCCACCTCACATATCATTCCAAACATTGTCAAGAAAAATTTATACTATCATAATCTTTTCTTGAAAATAATTAGTTGGCGAATGAATATAAACCCCGAAGAATCGATGTGAAAAAAAATTCTGAAGATCCATTCCTCGGAGCTACCTCCGCCGAATGAGTTCATTTCTCGAAGGTAGCTCCGCGGAATGGATCTTGAGCTTTTTTTTAATACCCTGATTTATTTATGATTTTGTCATTCCGCGGAGCTACAGTGAATTCCATAAAGCCCCTCGGAGCTACCTCCGCGGAATCCATGTCTATACCCCGGAAATTCAATTTTTTGTGTCTATATTTTAGAATTCAACCCCAAAAAATGTCTATAGCCAGTATTTTCCCTTATTAATATAATAAAACTTGTTGGAGGTTCTCTTAGAGACTTGTCTCCCAGAGTCTTTATATACCATTAACATCAACATCAACCTTACACCGAATACAAAATCATCATTTACAAGAAGTAGCACATACAATATATTATCTGAAACACCATGTTAACTTAAGTATTAGCCAAACTATCCTAGTTTCTGTCTTGTTGAGAGCTCCAAGTAGCATTGTCATAGTATGGTTGCAGAAGTATTACTAGAACTTCATGAAAATTTCTTTCTAGATGTATACCTTATACTTTGTAGTGAAACAAAAAGAAACGAGGATAAAAGATGGTAAAAAGGTTTGTGTTCTAGGAAAGGTCTTATGTTATTTATTATCATGTGCATGAGAGAAGGCAAAAGAAAGATAACAAATTCATTAAAAGTAAATAGGTTAATTCAAGTCCGAGGTAGTTAATTTATTTCGAAAAAAGATGATAAATCATATGCTTTCGATTCTATTCAAATGTTTCGACATTTATGAGAATGTCTTAGAGAGAATACAAAATTTATCTACCCTTCCTTTATGTTCTCTCCAGAAAAGCTCGAGAATATGCAATTTTTTTTTGTTTCTTTTTATTTCTTACAAAATTACTCTTTTTGTCTACAAGAAAGTGACTCAAAACGACATATTTATTTGTTAGGTAAAGAACAACGGTAAACGAAAAACAAACATGAGAAATACAAGAAATCAGAAACGAAATCAAAACACACAGAACACAACACAATATTTAAGTGGTTCACATTATCTTGCGATAGGCTACGTCCACTGTCGAACCAGAGAGAGAGAGATTTTATTCCAGCTATTCTGCTACAATGTTACAGATATGGTTGTTCATAAGTATATATATACAAGAAAATTTGACCTAAACCTAAAAGGTCAAGCCCAACCGAAAAACACTAATAATAATAATAATAATAATAAATAATAATAATAATAAAGACAAAAAAACAAAAGAGAAAACATTGGTCTGCCCAAAACTTTCCGGTCTTTAAAATTCAAATCTAATGAAAAGGCTGCATATTTAACATTATTAACAATAGGTGGAAAAGAACATGACCTTTCAACCATATTGCATATAGGTAGATTGTGGCTGTTAACCGGTGACAGATGAACAAATGTGGATCTAATGATAAACTTTAAATTGGATTGAACTTAAGCCTGTATTTCTTTCAACATCTTAGTTTTAAGTTGTAAATGCAACTCATGAGTCATTTTTTCATAGAACAATGGATCGTCTAAAACAACGATTTTTATCGGATATAAAAAAGAAAGAAGCTCATAGAAGTCGAAATATGAAAAAATAGTATGATATGATAGGCGAAATCTCAATGCTAAATGTTTTGTTGATTAAAATCCTTTCAATGACTAACTTTAAATTTTGTGAGATCAGACAGTGGCAGGCGTATTAGGAAGTTTGGCTCATCCAAATATTATTAGTCTTTTGGGACACTCTAATGATAAACCACACGAATACTTGCTTGTTTACGAGTACATGGAAAAGAGAAATCTTGATCACTTCTTATTTGAAGGTAATATATATTATTGGATTATTTTGACTTAGAAGTACTTTATCTAACATGAACAATTTTGCAGATGCACCACTTTCCTGGGGACGACGACTTATAATATTGATAGGAGTAGCACGTGCACTTGCGTATATACATTCGTCAAGCTATCAAGTGATACACCGTAATGTTAAACCCTCTAATATATTCCTCGATCAGGTAGTCTTAAGCTATTGAAGATTTTTAGTGGTGAAGGAACCACTTCCAAGCATTTGTTTTTTTGCCATGAAAATTAACAAATTATTTTTCTTGATTATGCAAGGATTTTAATGCAAAACTGGGGGATTTTGGGTTTGCAAAATTTGGGTCTGAAATTCACAAATTAGATGCTACTACACGTGTTATGGGTACCATTGGTTATGTTGACCCATCGTATGTAAAGACAGGTAGGCTCCTACAAAATAATATCTATTCAAGTGAACTTCTACCACATTTGCGATTAATTTTTCGTAAGAAAACAAATCATTCTTCCAGAGTTTCAGGATGAGCCCATTTTAGATAAATATGGAAATGTAAATATGAAGAAAAAAGACCATCCTTGAACTGTTTTTTCTATAAGTATATATTTTCACCGGAACCATGGATTGTTAAACAAATATGCCAATTTGTAGTGATTAATTTAAAGGTTAATCTCTATATTGTGATCATAAAAAAATACAAATTACAGGTCATCTGACTATGAAGAGCGATGTCTATAGCTTCGGAGTGGTATTGCTGGTAACCCTAACAGGTGATGGGGCATGGGGGTCGCCTAATTATCAATTAAATTTGGCAGAACTGGCAGGTCCATTCCTAACAAGTAGAAGCAAGCTAGATAAAATAATGGATCCACGTCTACAGAAAGATTACCAGCTAAAAGGTGCTTTCAAATGTGCTGCACTCGCATTAAGATGTGTAGCTACCGATTCTAAGGATAGACCTTCAAGTGAAGAAGTTTTGCAGCGCTTGGAACGAATATATGCTCTAACCAAATAATGTAACTGTTAAAATATGAACTTGATACTTTGGTGCAGAGTCATTAAGGATTCTTATGTTGGCTAGAATTTGTCAAATTGCAGAAAGCTTGAAGGTCTCAAATAGCACTACTAGAAAAAGAGGTATCAGCGATGAATTAGCCACCGAAAAAATCCCTAGCTAATCAGTGATGGACTTGCAAGGGTTTAGCGACCAAGTTATATTAATGTGTAATACTGAATTTCAGATGTGGTTGATTCAATGGATTCTTTTCATCCGGGAAAAATCGGTAGCTGATTTTTTAATTCCCTCCCATTTATTTGGTTCAACTTTTTGTTTCCCTCCCACTTATTTCGTTCCCCCCATTCATCTCTCCCAAATCGACACCCTCAACCTCTCTTCCCAAATCGACTCCCTCACTTCTCCTCCCAAATCTTCTGTAAATCTTATGTAACATTCTTTTACATTTAGCCCTTCGTCTTTCTCATCCTCCATTGCGCATCGAGATGGCGCCGATCGATCTCAGGTTACAAAATGCGAGAAACCCTAGCGATAGCATCATATTCATCATCGACGACAACAAATGTCATCCCACCAGCCGAAGCAGCTTGGGTTAATACATATGAAAGATTATCACCGCGCTGAAAATCATTCACCCCTCCTTCTCAGGTATTGACTGGACATCTTTTTTTTTAGTTTGCTTTCTATTAATTCTTCTTCCCATGTCAATCCAAACGAAATCAATGTTCATGAATCTCATGTCGTACTAAATAGTTAAAATCAGAGTGATAATATATTGAGCTGTTAGAAGCAAAATCATTGTTTAGGATTATGAATCTCATATTGAACTAAATGATTAACCTCAGAGTTATTTAGTTGGGTTACTGGAAACAAAATTAATGCTCAAAGACCTCATATAAATTCATCAACATCTTTCTAGGAGAAAACAAGTTTTTTTTTTCATATCCCTGAAGGTTCCTTAGCCCCTCTCATTTTTAACACGACCTAATGGATTTGTTGGTGAATTCCCTGCACTCTGCAATTCCAGTTGTGATATCTAGAGTTAACCAGGTGGATACAGCAAGACTTGATGTTGAGATGTCAGCCATGTTGAAAGAGCAATTAGTCAAGGTTTGCTCTGAAATGAAGGTATATTATCACATAGTCGAGGTTTTTCTTTTTGTTTCCATCTTTAATTTAATTACCAAATCTTATCCTTTTGGGATTAGCCAGGATTGTTTTTCAATACGAAGCTGAGCTTGATGCTTTCCTTGAGTTTCTCTTCTGGAGGTTCTCCATTTGGGTTGATAAACCTACTCCAGGAAATGCTCTCATGAATCTAAAAAATAGAGATGAGCATGTCATGACTACAAGAGGAAAAAGTAAGAAGTTTCAAATATATGATTATATCCATTCTATCATGTGCAAATTGTGTGGGTGTGACCATTTAGCCTTACATCTCAATTAATTTCAATCTATTCTCTAGTTAGATCATGATTGGAGGGACCTGAACTCACTATTGCGTAAAAGATATGGTGTTGTGTTGCTACAGTTGGTGGACAATATATTTGGACTTGTCTACAATCTTTTTCTGGTTTTTGTCGATGGGGTGATTTTAATTAGATATATGCTATTCCATGTTTAGATAGTTGAACCTAATAAGGTATAATTGCAATCCTCCCCTCGTATTCTGTTAGTTTTTATATTTTAGTGCTGCTACAACTTATTTATAACTAACTATTTAAGTGACATAATTTTATTATAAAATGGTACTAGATGTCAGCAAATACTTACTTGGGATAAGGGAAAAGAAACTTGGAAGCACATACAATATAAAAGAATATGGCTAAATATATTAGGCATATCCTGATATATGATATATTTGAATCTAGAAATTAAGACATCATTATTAGTTGTATATTATTTACAGGTACAAGAATCTTAGTGAGAGAGCCCTGGACATATTCGCCCCTACACAGTCAAATTGACGTATTTGCCCTTCTGGTTTGCTACTAGTACCAAGATAAACTCCAAATGATTCACCCGAGATGGAAAACTAGTGCAAAGTCTCTTATAAGGTATAATGTTATCATCAATTAATGGTTTGTTTTCCTTTTAAAATGATTTTAGTTTTAAAGGATAAAGGATGAGCTTATTGAAAGTACATTGTTACAAATTGTTTTCTTTGTAGGCTATTCTTGATCGTATACGTGAGGAGATAAAGGATGTGCTTAGGGTGGAACGTGAAGAAATTAAGCCATAAAAACAAGAAATTTTCAAGATTTATAACGACATTCACACTTAATTCACTAGAGGAAGTAACCTACCCAACTAATTAAACTTTCACATTTGATTTTCTAATTTGGTTTCGATACTTTGAAATCGATTTACACTTTGACTCTCGATACTTGTGATTTAGTTTCAATACTTTGAATGTGATTTGGTTTCGATACTTTGAAATTGAATATTAATCTTCATTTACCTGGTCAAATATTTATATTTAATTTAGTAATTGGATTTTAATTGTAATTTATTATATACATTAGATTTATTTTGTAGATTTTGGTTATAGATTTAGAATATTAAAACAAATGATATAATTGGCAATCAACGACAAAATTTATTGGTTTTATGAGCTTTCTTAAAAAATTATATTGTAGCTAAATAACTCATCAATGACGGATTAGCGACAAACATCAACGACAGATTAACGACAAAATCCAGAGGTTCCATAAGCAATTTGTGACTTCGCTAATCCGTCACTAATTTGTCGCTAACTATTAGCGACAAGGTTTTTTCGACTACCAAATTTCGTCGCTAATCCGTCGTTGATGGCCTTCAGCAACGGATCAGCGCAGAATTGTCCGTCAGTGATACCTCTATTTGTAGTAGTGTAGAAGCTGAAGATGTTGATGATTGTTCGTGACTAAGAAAAAGATGTTGGGGCTAGATGGAGCAAATGTTCCAAGTATAAGAAGAATAAGATGCTTAGGGTGCATTTAGTTACAGATAAATGGGCCATTTTTTGGAAAAAATTCCAAGAAAAATGAGAATTTTAAAAACGTGTTTAGTTCATCGATTTTTCTCGGAAAATAAAAATTTTCCGTTTTTTAAAACTACAAAGAACTTAGTAAATTTTGGAAAACCGATAATCATTCTTTTCCACATTTTTCTAATTTAAAAAATATAAACATACACCCACCCCAACCCTACACACTTCTACATACCCCACCTTAACACCCCCAACCCACACACTCCTAAGAGCATCATGGGGGTTTAATCAGAGTTGAATAGATGATTACTAGGATTGAATAGAAGTTTAATGGAATGTGAGTGATGACATGGAGGAGAGTTGAATGAGAGAGTTGTATGATCATTGAGTGGTTCAATATATTTAATCTTTTCTTTTCCAATTAAATTTCAAACAAAATATAGAAATCCATTAAACTTTGTAGAGTTTAATGGAGTGTGGATGTTAAAGAGTATAGTTGAATAAAAAGTGAAATGTTGATGTTGTAGTGATGTGTCAATCCATTGAACTCGTAGAGTTCAATGGATTGTGGATGCCCTAAGCTCACCTCAACCCCACCCCCACCCCCACAAATACACACACCGCCACCACTACCCCTACAAACACACACACACACACACACAACCACCCCCACCCCCACAAATAAACACACACACACACACGCACACCACAATTACCCCCTACAAACACACCCACACCCACCCCCTACAAACACACACACACACACACACACATACAACCACTCCATCCCCCCCCCCCATAAACACACACCACCACTAGCACTACCCCCACAAAAACACTCTCACACACACCACTTCTGTAAATTCCGACCTACCATCACATCTACCATTACCCTGTCACCGCCACAATCACCTATGCCACCTTGTCACCACCGTGATACCGCCACCACCACAACTATCGCCATCATCGCCACCACGTTGCCGCCGCCACCACCACAATTATCGCCATCATCGCCGCCACCACCACCACCATTGTCACACCCCCAAACCGGATGGCAGAAACGTCCGGGGGTGGAATGAGAACACAGTATCACAAGTACATAAACAACCATCATATCATATGATTATATCAGTTACATGACCCAAATGTTACTTAGTATCAGAATACATTACAAGGTTTGCATGTTATCAAATAAAGTAGTTCTCGTAATGATATTTGGTGTTTTGTCTTCAAAAGTAGCTCCACTGATCCGAGCTTAATTGTTTCCTGAGATTACATGCCTTTTAAAAGTCAACATAAAGTTGGTGAGTTCATAAGAGTTTAGTTGTAGAAAAATCCGATATTTTTCCTTAGATGAAAATTGTATCTCCGTCTTGTAAAAAGTTTTGTATTTGTACGCCTTCAGCGTAAAAGAAGAATGTATGTGTGTAGTATGTATCCAAAAGCATTAATAAAATAAAAGTTCCCATAACTTCTAAAGTTATAGAAAGTGTGACTTGTCATGTGATTTTTATTATCCAAAAATCGAGTGTATAAGTAAATAACCATACTTATAAATGTGTTTTGTACTAGAATTTCACTATTCGATGTTATAGTGAGCCCTTATAATCGAGCTATCGACTGTAATGCTGCCCGCCATGATGCTTCTTCGGACGTCGTGAAAATGTTAAGACAATTGTCACCCTTGACCCGTCGATCGTGGTTGTAGCTAGCAACCATAGGTGGGGGTTGTCAATCCCATATAGATCTATACACAATTATCCCGCTCACTTAAGATTTAACGATTATAAGGTCCGGTCTTAGCATAATGGTTGAAGAAATGTCTCACATAACCCGTCGAAAGTATGTTATTCTAGGTTGTAAATGAAATTGAAGTTTTCCCATGTTCAAAGTGTTGTTCTACATGTATGTTGGTTACCCAGTGTATAATAGTATTACCCAGTGGATAATGGTATTATCCAATGGGTAATGGTTTTATCCAATGTGTAAACACAAAGTTTTAATCTTTCAAAACTACACTTTTGGTAAAAATGTTAGTTTGTGTTTATCCAATGTGTAATAATATTATCCAATGGATAAAGATATTATCCATCATACAATAGATCCAATATTAGAAGCTTGTGCATATGAAAGAATGAGACTTATGTGTTTTCTTTGAAAACATGAATGTATGTATATATTTCATAAATAGAACATAAACATGCATGTAAGAGTCTTACCCAAAGGTTAAAAGTTTTATCCATCATATATTAGATCTAGGACCTTTGTGTAAAGTCATTGTCCAAAATGTATTTTGTTTTTATGGCATGTAATCTCCTCCGAAAGTGTAAAATGAGTGAAAATGTAACGACCCAATTTTCAAAAGAAAATGTTCATTTTTCAATAGCCAAAAACACTTTCCATAAACCATAAAATCTCAAATACAATTTTTTTCAAATTCATATCAATAACAATGTTATTTCAAAATATCAGAGTGTCCCATAAAAACGCGTGAGAGAGAGCGCACGTCGCGTCATCAAACCTTGCCCTTGCCGTTAGGGTCAGATGAACCTGAAACAAATCCACAAACTGTAAGCTAATGCTTAGTGAGTTCCCCAAAGCATACCCCACACAATCCACATAATCACATAATCATATTAGCTATAAAAGCTACATAAATGACATAAGCCATGCATACAACATATAGGGATGTCATGGGCTCGTCCCCAGGGTCTTACTCCAGGATGCCATGGGCTCCCCACATGATCTTACACCTAAGTGTCATGGGCTCTCCCATGGTCTTTAATAGGAAAGCCATGGGCTCTCCACATGGTCTTACATCCGAGTGCCATGGTGTCACAACTAGCAAATTAGGGTTGAGATTTTGATTCTTGTACGAGACAATATCCTCCATCTAACCTTGCAACACCCCATTTAGTGAAATTCAAACTACAATGTTATTTAAAATCATACGTGCATACATTGTAAATCAAGCCTCGTACAAGCCCAAAAACTTGATCCAATAGTTAAGACCAATCCGTTTTGGGCTTTCATCCAAGAATTCTCGGCCCAACACCCTATTGGGCCTTGTTGGGCCGATAACCCTTTGTTGGGCCCTATTGGGCCGAAAAGTTCTATTGGGCCGAAAACCCTTCCTTAGGCCTTATTGGGCCAAAAACTCCTACCTTTGGGCTTTAATGGACCGAAAACTTTTATTGGGCCAAGCAAAAAATCGAAACCCACTCTTTTTGGGCCACCCTTTGGACCAAGAACCCTATGGGGTCGGTTAGGGTTTGAACAAAAAAAAAGGAAAAATGAATGGAACAAGGAGGTGCCACCTCATTTTTGCCCTACATGCAACAATGTTTTAACCTCCATGTATCAAGGCATGCTTCCCATCAACTTTCCACAAGTCAACTTCTTTCTCCTTCCTCTCTCTTAGGATCGCCCGACCCCCCCCCCCCTCCAACACACCTCAAAAACTTCATTTTCCTTCACTTAGTCTCAAGAACTCCTCCTACTTCTTCCTCTCAAAAAATCAAACTTCTCTCATTTTTCCTCTAAAATTTCGTGGGTGTCTGTGTACCGTCTTCAAAGGAGTCTTCTTCAAAGGTTCATAAGTTTGGTAAGACCTTCATGTAACTCTTGTAAATCTAAACATTATTATGATAACAACTCCTTGTTTACACACTTTTGTTGTGTGTTAAGCTCTTAGAACACCACCATTCTCGAGAATCTCTCCAAGACAAGGCTAGGCTCGAAAATTTCCTTCTTCTTCTTCTACCTCACGAAATCAACCAAGGTGAGCTTCATACCCCACTATTTTCGTGTTTTTCATCCTTTTGGGGGGAATACAAGTCAAGTTTGTTTAAATCTTTGGATATTTGCATGCACTTGTGTATTTATGTAACAACTTGTGGTTGAAATGTTGAATACCTCATGCTAACACTCCATAAACTCGAGATTTACAAGCCTCATGAGACTAGAGTAAATCTATCCTTTGGAAAGTTTCATGTATCATGGTTATGAGTTGAAGATAAAACAAGTTCTCAAATAAAAAGGTGCTTAATGTATGTTAAAAATGAAAGACAATGTTAACAACATATTTGTGTTATAAAAGTTTGTGGGGTCATGTTAAAACACCTAAAATGGCGAAAATATGGGTGTTACACTAAAATATGGTTAACTTTGGACATATGCATTTTTTTAACACTTATACTTACAAAAATGTTTGGATGTAATAAATTTCAAGATTTTATGTGTATTTTGGTGAAAATCGTGATATGCTAGAGTCACAACAAAATGTTATATTTGGTGTTACAAAAGTCTTAAACTAAATTTGGTGTGTTAAGCAAACTACAAAACTTGATTATTTTACTAAAAATAATTTTTACTAGCAAGATAGTCGTAATATGTTGTCACCATTTTTGCGGG